GAGAGCAAAACGCAGGGCGCAAGACTGTACTGAGAACGGACAGCAACTAAAATAGCCTGCCCTTCAGTGGGTCCCCACTCAGTTCTCAAGCTGGTTTTAGCTCATCTTGTGCCATTACAGAGAGAAGATCTCTGAAACATATCAGACTGGTCCCACCCGTACGGGCAGTCCAGTTCCAAAATGCCAGAAAGTTCCCTCTGCACAAGAGACATAGCAACCCCAGACGATCGTTTCAATCTTGTTAGGCATCATCAGTGAGGCATAGCTAATATCTCTCTACACCGTGAGCAAGGAGTCCACGTCTGGATTACCCTTTTTGAACTAATGGAGAGCAAAAAGCAGGGCGCAAGAGTGTACTGAGAACTGCCCGTATGGGTGGGACCAGTCTGATATGTTCTCTCTGTAATGGCACAAGATGAGCTAAAATCAGCTTGAGATCTAAGGTGGGGACCCACCGAAATGAAGGCTATTTCAGTTGCTGTCCGTTCTCAGTACACTCTTGCGCCTTGTTTTTTGCTCTCCAGGTTGCTCTTACAAGAGCAAGTGTTGTGATCCAATGGAGTATAGTGGGTATAGCAATCCCCAGACTAAATATAGCTCTCCAACCCCCAAACATGAGCCTAGACTTCATGAAGGGTAAAACAAATCGTTTTAATGGCAGCCAGAACTGGCCTTATATGCAGGTCCCCATGCACGGGGCACTCCCGTCTGGACCTGAGAGTAGACTACTGTAAAAACATTCACACTATTACATTGGCTCTCAGGTCCAGGACACTCCCAAACAAAATAGGTCAATCCCTCCCCTATGTCTGGGATATAATTGAGTCAGCACTGTATTAAACTCAATTATCTCCAGGCACAGAAAACATACAATTTTATAAAACACCCAAAATACCTTAAAACACACAACATCCTCCCAAAATTTCCTGGAAGTCATAATTTGACCGACCACACGCATGGTCCCATGCCCAAAACAGTTCCAGAGAATCAGGGCATGCAGTTTATCTAGTTCGGTAGTTTTAAACCGAACAAACTACCAAACAAACTCAATAGTCTTACCCTGGAGCTTCTTCCCCTTGTACGTGGGAATGTTTCCACCAAACAGTGTCTTCCTAAGTGCTATAAAACCGAACCCAGGCAATCATGGAAGTCCAGCAGTGTTCAGGAGTTTCGGTGTCCGAAAAAAGTTCCATGAACTCGACGACAAAACTGTCTGTGTTCATGTGACCTCGTGGCCGTCAATAGGAAATGCGGCCACCCAGACGAACACTGCAGTGGAAATTGCTACAAAGCAGCAATTAGGCTTAACAAGCTGCAGGGTGGTTCCCGAACCAAATATAAAATCATGAACCAAATATAAAATAGAAAATCCCCCGAACCAAGTCTGTTCACATAGTTTTTTAAAGGGCCAATTGTCTTTTGGTAAGAGGCTGGCCAGCAGGCCCCTCCACGAACACGTGACGAGGCTCAGTTCGTCACAAGTACAAGGAACTGATTGCTAGAAAATAAAAATATTAATTTATATATATAAACACCCTGTTCAAAATTATTATGCAAATTCTATTTAAGTGTCACAAAGATTAAATATTTAGTTTTTCAGTTTAACTCATGGATGGCATTGTGTCTCAGGGCTCTTTTGATCACTGAAAACAATCTCGGGCACGTGTGATAATTAGATTGCCAGGTGAGCCCAATTTAAGGAAAAACTACTAAAGGAGGGTGTTCCACACTATTAAGCAGAGCACCATTTTCATGCCATATGGGGAAGAAAAAGGATCTCTCTGCTGCCGAAAAGAGTGAAATAAATCAATGGCTTGGACGAGGTATGAAAACATTAGATATTTCACAAAAACTTAAGCGTGATCATCGCACTATTAAGAGATTTGTGGCTGATTCAGAGCACAGACAGGTTTGTGCCGATAAAGGCACATTGAGGAAGATTTCTGCCAGATCCATGCATCGGATCAAGAGAGCAGCTGCTAAAATACCATTACATAGCAGCAAACAGATATTTGAAGCTGCTGATGCCTCTGGAGTCCCATGGACATCAAGGTGTAGAGTCCTCCAGTCTTGCAACTGTGCATAAACCTTCTATTCAGCCACCACTAACCAATGCTCACAAGCAGAAACGGCTGCATTGGGTAGAAAAATACATGAAGACTAATTTTCAAACAGTCCTGTTCACTGAGGAGTGCCGTGCAACCCTGGATGGTCCAGATGGATGGAGTAGTGGATGGTTGGTGGACGGCTACCCTGTTCAAACAAGGCTGCAACGTCAGCAAGGCTGTGGTGGAGTCATGTTTTGGGCTGGAATCATGGGAAGAGAGCTGGTCGGCCCCTTTAGGGTCCCCGAAGGTGTAAAGATGACCTCTGCAAAGTACATGGAGTTTCTGACTGACCACTTTCTTCCCTGGTACAGAAGGAAGAACTATGCTTTCCATAATAAAATCATCTTCATGCATGACAATGTTCTGTCTTATCCTGCAAAGAATACCTCTGCATCAATGGCTGCTATGGGGATAAAAGGAGAGAAAGTCATGGTGTGGCCTCCATCCTCCCCTGACCTCAGTCCTATTGAGAACCTTTGGATCATCCTCAAGCAAAGGATCTATAAGGGTGGGAGGCAGTTTACATTCAAACAGCAGCTCTGGGAGGCTATTCTGACATCTTGCAAACAAATTCAAGCAGAAACTGTCCAAAAATTCACAAGTTCAATGGATGCAAGACTTGTGAAGCTGCTATCAAATAAGGGGTCCTATGTTAAACTGTAACGTGACCTGTTAAAATGTTTAAAAAGTTAAAATGTTGTTATAAGTTTGATTGAAATAGCTTTTGATTTCAGTAAATATGCTGCAAACACAACAAATAACAATTTTCAGTTCTTTACAACCTATAAAGTGTTTTGAAACTTACTGTGCATAATAATTTGGAACAGTGCATTGTAAGTTTTTTTATGTTTAAAAAAAATACTGTTATCATTATGAGGTCTGTTCAATAAAATTTGAATTGTATTCTTAATAGTTGATAACATGAGAATTGTGCTGACTGTTATTTTCATCAATTATTTAGGTAAATGAGAAACATATCATTTGCATAATAATTTGGAACAGGGTGTATATATATGCGCTTGAGAAATAATACTTTATTCCAAAAGAGTAAAAATATGCAAAAAATAGAGAATTAAAAAGGCAGTAGTACTGCCAATGTACTATTGATAAAATTAGCAAAGTAACCTGTAGTTCAGACCATGTTGGATGAGCATGTTGGATGGGAGCAGGAATCTGTCCTGTGTCTTGGTCGCTGGTGAGGACTGTGTACGTGTCACAGTGCGTTCCACCTCAGACCTCACACTGAGGTGCTCCCTCTGATCTTCAGTATGAGTCCAGGGTCGGCAGCAGCAGAGGATAACTTGCAGTGTAATCTTTCTAACGATCTAAATGCTTGTTGTGACGGACCGCCTGGCACTCCAACTGAGTGCCTCCGCCAATTGATGCTCCTAGTGCTCACCAAGAAATTCCAGCACTCCACCAGACACCATAAGCACTGCAGACCCCGCTTCCAGCAATGCAACTGCGCCAGGGTCTCGCCGTCCTTCACCCACCCTGGACCCAAGACCAGGATCCAGCTTTCAGTGGGCAGACCTCTCCTACTCCCAGAGAGCGTAGCAGGAACAGCTCTTATAAGCGCTAGTGATTATAATTCCTGGGGAATATAGTGATATAGCAATCCCTAGGATAGATATAGCCGTTTGCCCCACACATGAGATGAGACTCTATGTTGAGGGTAAGCAGGAACAGAATTTAACGGGAGCCAAACTTGGCCTTTTATGACAATCCCACTTCAAGAGGTACGCCCACATGGACCTTGTTGGGGACTCCA